GTTCAATGCCTACATCAATTTCACCATCACTGCGCATGTTGGAGGTATAATAAATGAACTAAGGTATGCTTGGGTAGGAGTGCATCATACTGTGGTTATGGGAGGAACAGATAATGCCCATCTCCGGTCCATAGCTGTTAAGGGTATGATGTCCTTCATGGGTGACAAGTTCACCCTATATGACCCCGTGGTAGTCACTAGCAGGAGCGAGGCAGCGTAGGGTGACGGGTGTAGGTAGCCACAGGCCTGGCCTGCTTAAGTACCCTTTTATGTATCACTATTACAAATACTGCAAGAATTTATGCCTAAGGTTAAGAACAACCATGTACTCCAGACGACTGTTGCACTTTTATGAGAAGGCGAGACAACCAAGTGGGTGAGTGTATCGAATATTATAACAGTTTTGATAAGGGTCCGTGACGAGGGTCTTTATAGGCGAAAAAGAAAGTGGGTAATGTGGATAGGGTAGGAGGCAGGTGCGTGTGAAGGTACAGGACTGCTTGCATCAAGACAGGGTGGCCCGGCGGGGAGAAATTGTGGGGGTAGCATGCATGGTAGGTAAGGCAGTCCCCTTCCTTCCCCCCACTCTACTCATCTGACCTTTACCCACGGCAAGTAGGTTTCCCGCGCCTGTTATGCCCTCTGGTGGCTGCGCCAGACAGCCAGGCGGGCGGGCGGGCGGGGGGAGAGGGAGGGGGTACAACACTAGACCGTCACAAAAGACTTATGCTGGTAAGTCAACCCAACCAGTTCAATATTTTACCTAGATGGGCGTTATTATTGGCCTGATTTACTTCTATTATTAAAAGGTCAATACTGTACTGATACAGGGCAAGACATATCTATCCTTAGCTACCGCAAAATCAAGAAGTTATTGTTTCCAAATTACTTATGTTATATCCACGTGAAGATACTTTTATAATACCCAATTAAGAAGCCACATTTGGATAAAACACAACATTCGAATAAAAGAACAAGAAGAGAGTTTAGTGCTACATAGCCTCCCTGGCATAATTGGGGCCATGCTTTGATAATTAACAGTTATTAACAAAACACAAGCAAATACCCACAGCACGTCCTCCGAGGAGGGGGAGGAGGGAGGAGGCTTGACAGTATAATCGCGGGAATATAAGTGTTCTTATATCAGAGGCTGTTGTGATATTTGTAGCCATTAAAAATGCTACAAGGGCCTGACTGGAAATTGGAAAAGAATATGATTATAAGGTAATAAAGTGGGAGGGTGTGGTGGATGGATACCCACGACGCCCACAAACTTTACCTCAAACGTCACCAATACCTCCAGAAATACACTCAAGACCGGGTTATTTCCGACTACACCCGAGATATACCCCTAAGATGTGCCTCTCCCCTAGAGGCTACCTCCACCAGCAGGGTGTAGGTGGTGGGGGTGTGGGTGGTGGTGGGGGTGTGGGTGGTGGTGGGGGTGTGGGTGGTGGTGGGGGTGTGGGTGGTGGGGGTGGTGTGGGTGGTGGGGGTGTAGGTGGTGGGGTGTGTCGTGGACGGGGATGTTGCAAGTGAGTCACTGGAGGGTGACGGAGAGCTGCCCACACCAGCCTCGCAGATCACACTCGTCTCACTATCCATACATGGTGAATTTCGCCCATCTCTCAACAACTTCATTCGTTAAACTAATTAAACTAGTAGACACCTCAAGACGCTGTAGTTTTTAGACATTTCTAAAGCAAGCGTTAAGTTCCCTGAACAGAAGAACCTTCACCTGACATACGAGAATTCTAAGCTTAAGAAATAATATAGTTACAGGTATCAGCCGGTCAATGCTGAAACTTCATACTTAGAATGTGAAAAGTTCAGGGCATCGTGATCAGTAGGAACCACAAACCAAGAAACCAATTTATAAACGTTCAAATAAATGCAAATAGGATACTGGTGTTCACAAGACAACTAATGTCAAGTCGGCAGTTATCTTGCCTATATCTAGATCATGCACTTTTAGGCACCGTACTACAGAATGGACAGATTCTCTTAGAAGGTATAGAAACGGATAAAAACGTTAGTTTTGGGTATTAGGAACCTCCCTTATGACTATATTAAAAACAAATTTATAATTCTAATATCATACTACTGTTAATATCGCAATTAATTACATCAACACGGAACACTATATAATGAGTGCAAACTTCACAAGTTTAAATTCAGAAAACAATTGGGCAATTACATTTATTGGATTATGGAACACGTTGGCAAACAACAGATGTAGAAATGTTATGTCAGAGAGGTGAGGTTATGGGTTCATATTAATAGGAACTGCTTCACATGGGTCCACAAGCTCTCTGCAGTTTCTTATTCTTAATATCGACAAAATGTTTACATAGCATGTTTTTTTACTAACCAAACTAAGGACCTGACAGCTGAGTGGACGGAGTGAAGATGTTCCTACATTAACTTACATTTCTAATGTCTTGCTAACTCTAATCATCAAAGTGACTCCTAATAATAACCAAATCACTTTTCAGTGGTTTAAAACAACTGACCTAGAGAAGGGAGACACCCGTCACTGGTAAATGTACTAAAGCCCACGATTGAATATTACATTTAAATTGTGAGGAGTGTTAGTCAGCACTCCAGTATTAAAAGCAGCAGCGGGGGAGTAACACGCAGGCGGCCTCCTGCAGCACCTGGGTGATGACTGCGTCAAACCAAGCACGTCTTCTCTGCCCTGCTTGGCTGCCTTCCTCACTCCAGGTGCTGCTCGCCCCTTCCCAGTTACCCTGCTGGCGAATCTCCCCTTCAAACCCACAAATCAACATAAATCCCCCCACCCCTCTCAAGTACTACGAGCGTGAAAAAGGTAATCATTATGACTGATGTAAACAGTTGTTCCCTTACTCACACGCAAAACACATTTGCAAGTGTTTGAGGATTTCAGGGTTGAGTATGTTTTGTTTTGGGTCGTTTACGCAAAGCTCATCTCCCAACGCATCTCCACCGACGCTCAACAAACACCACGAGACTAAGGCCGAGCACGTGTGTTTGCTACAAGCGTTGATTGATGATAATGATGACCAAGTGGGCCCAAGTCCCTAAGTGTCTTTTCAAAAGTTCAAAGTGCTGGAGGCAAGCTACGAGTGCTTTGTGTTCCACAATAATACTGTGGTAGGAGACAGGAGGAAGAGGAAGGCAGGAGTGGGTGACGGCGCTTCATGAACGTCATGGGATTATCGTGTCCCAGTAGTCTTTCAACCACCTTCCTCGTGTAGTGGTGCTGCCACTTACATAACGCGGCCCACCAGTGTTCTCTGGCACACGTCAGCTAGCACCATCACTGCAGGAACCGCTGTTCTTGCGCAAGGGTTGATCATCAATAAATCTGTCTCTTCAAACAGCAGAAGAGATGCTGTATCGTGCTTCAGTCTGTCACAGCACCGTACACTATGCCTCAAGCCAAGCACCGTACATCGCCTTACGAATCAAGTTGAGGACAAGTCGTGCAATATTGGCTTTGACGACTCAAGGGCAGCAATTATCACCCTTAACGCCAGGAATTCACCTGATCTGTCCCCTTGAAAACTGTTAGTGAAGGGAGGAGGGGGCACGGGTGAAGGGAGGAGGGGGAAGGGGTGAAGGGAGGAGGGGGAAGGGGTGAAGGGAGGAGGGGGCACGGGTGAAGGGAGGAGGGGGCACGGGTGAAGGGAGGAGGGGGCACGGGTGAAGGGAGGAGGGGGCACGGGTGAAGGGAGGAGGGGGCACGGGTGAAGGGAGGTCTCCAACACCCCGCCCAGCAGCCACCACCTACAAGGCCAGACGAGTGAGGCTTCCTGATGTGTACGTGGACCATCGTCACCTTTATGATGCTCTTCCCCTCTAGCACCACTATACCATACCCCCATCATCCCAGCCCGCACCATAACCCCCCCCCCTCCCCCCGACCACACATCGCTATCACACACGTGTACCCATAGTCACTACAAGTGTCAATGATCGGGGCGAAAAAGGCACGAGGAAGAGAATGAGTGAGCCCGGCAGGTGTATATATTGGGGGAGGGTGGGACGAGGAAGATGGCGAGGGCCTCAGCAGCCCGGCAGGTGTATATATTGGGGGAGGGTGGGACGAGGAAGATGGCGAGGGCCTCAGCAGCCAGACAAGGTCGCACCAACACTGCCATCACCGACCCAACCCTGGCTTCCTGCTCTACACACCTGCCCCCCTCTCCCCCCAACCCCAATACAAACCAGACTTCCTTTAATACAATTTTCCACTGACTTAACTAAAAATGCTAATTAAAGTTTAAATTATATAATTTAGTGTTCGTTATCACAGGTACGAGACTCCTATGTGGCTAGATAATTGTTACGAGGTGTGTTACCTTAGCTCTTGATAAGCTAAGGCTGCCAGTGAACGTAAGCTACCACTTTAACCCTATATACCCAGACTCTCCAAATCCACTAGCGTCTCTGGCAAACTACAGCTACTAGAAAGAGATTAACTACTGGATAGAAATTCAACATCTAACAGCCATTGAAATATTTGTACAAGACTTAACCGTCTTGTACAATGACTGAATAACTTAGAGAAGCTAATGACTGAATAACTTAGAGAAGCTCCCACACTGGATCACAGGGTGCGTGTGGTGCCTTGCCTCCAGGACCACAACAGGTTACCTGCTCTCTCCGTGACTCACCAAAAACATAAGTACCACCACGCCAGGCACACTGCCAGAGCTGTAGAAGGGAAAGTGTTGGAATTGTGTTTGAAGGCTCCTGTGAAGTTACAAGTGTTGCAGAAACCATGAGTTGAGGGAAAGGGAGTTTTGGTTGGCCTGTTTACTGCCTTTTTTCATACACGGCCGTCTGTAATTGCCTTTTCTGTTGTGTAAAACAATTTTAGTCTAAACACTAATTTTGTAAAACTAACCCATCACACCTACCTTGCTTTGCGACTGCTGCATTACGCGCAACTACGGCGCTACCCGGCTACACACTACCAGCATGAAAACCAAGACCATGAGGCAGGTACTCACCTTTGAGGAGGAGAGGTTCTCTGTTGTCCTCGAGAAGGGCGGTGAGGACGAGGTAGACTGGGTGGTGTGGAGGTAGAGCCTCCAAATCAGTACTGGAGTCGTCGTACACGATGATCTCCTTGTAGCACCGTTTCTTCAGCAGGTCGCGACCAGATGGAGACGCCGCTAGGTCGACCACCGAGGCTCGCCGCAGCTGGAGTCGTTTGCGGTTGAACCGGTCGGAACAGTTGAGGTTAATAGCGCTGCGAACATGCCGCATGTTATAGTTGATGAACGTTCTCAAGTCGAGGAGGAGGAAGTTCCTGGGTTTAGTTTTGGTCAGTTTGCGCGCTACCTCAGAGGGTTCGAGAGCTCGCGCACGCCTGAGGAGTATGGAGCGCTGGATGGTAGAACTGTCTCCACAGGGCGAGGCTGGCATGCTGACTACCTGCGGCGCCATCAGCTGCGGAAGGGACACTGGGCATCTAGCGGTGGCGGCAGCACTCGCGTCCCCCGGCTCACTCAGCGACCGGTTCAGCGCCAAGCGAAGCCCCTCCCGACGACCTTCACTTAGCATGTTG